GACTTGTCATCCCAGGAAGCTAACTGAGCTACAAATATTCAATTCTAGTGCCATAGCTTAGTTTATTCTTTGATCATCTTAGGCTTGCAAAACATAGTTAAGCGTAGATTTATTAGGGTCTCCTTTGTGTCTAACACTTTGCCTAGTGTTTGTGACCTCGTATATTTTAAAATTAGGGTGTTTGCCTCTTATCCATCTAAAGACCCTTTCAATGGCGAGTGGGCATATACTTATGCTGAAATTCTCCATTGCCAAATTGATAGTTTAAAGTGAAATATTTGGGAGTGCCTGTTAGCCAAAGCCGGATACACATTAAGGATTGGTTGCATCTAGAGGAAAAGAATGCTAAAAGGTTAGATACCAGGAAAGGTGGTACCATGTCCATAGCTGGTAGAAATACTTTGATGAACTCTACTCTAACAAATAAGCATCTATCATAACTCTATTTATATGCTGCCTAGAATAGTCATTGATAAGATGAGGAGAACATTCTTTTGGCTAGGAGGAAGCACTAAAAGAAAATATCACTTAGTGAAGGGGACCAAAAATCTGTGAAAGCAAAATGAAAGGTGCCCACGAATTAATGGTCTGAGAAAGTTCAATATAAGCTATGCTATGTAAATAGTGATGAAGAATGGAAACTGAATATGGAATTTGGCAGAAAATTGTAAAATTGAAGTACTTGTAGGGTCATCAGTCAATTTGTAGATAAAGCGACTCTCCTATTTGGTATGATATGCTAAAAGTTAAAGAAATATATATATCTCAAGGGTAGATCAATTACAATTAAAAATGGGGGAACAAATTTGTAATGTTACAACCGTTAATATTTCTTGAAGTTCTAATATTACAATAGTTAATATGTTACCTATGCATTGTTCTTATGAATCTCTGTCGGCAGTAGGCTAAGGAAGACCTATGCATTACTTGTTATGAAATAATCTCTTGGTTCTACAATTTAAGTCCTCTTGCACAATAAGTAACTTAATGTTTACTCCTTGGCTTTCACAGGAAGCTATGAAAACTATACAAGCAGAACCTGTTGCTGATGTTCTTTCCAAGGTCCTCTCCTAGGCTAGCTGCAACACCTTTTCTTTGAAGAATGTTGGTATCAGGACAAACTACTCTAGACTTCGGGAATGGCTTGCTGTTCAATAGGAAAGTTCAGCTAGCCTCGCCGAACAAGTGGATCAACTAAAGAGAAAGGCATAAAACAATGAAAGGGAGTTTGAGGAGTTCAAGAAACTGCAACAGGAGGAGTACAATAAGCTCCATAAGCATATCATGCTCTTAAGCACTGGTAACTCTCAGTCTTATTGATACAGTGAACATGTGGTTTGTTTGCTGTTTTGATGTGAACTTGTGTGACAGCTTGATATGTGAACTCTGTTAGTGGTTTGCTGCTGAGCTGAACTACTGTTATTTGATTCAGGTTCAATATAATTATGCATGTAGTCATTTTGTGCAGTAGTGTAGATCTAAAATCATTTTTTCTGATGTAATGATTGGTGTGCGCGTGGTAGATCCAGCACAGACCACATCGTTAAATAAGAATCTGACACATGGACAAACCAGTGAATGACATGTGTAAGTACCAGGACAGGACACGTGGGCCCATACAACCAAATACGTGGTAAAAATCTGTCCTGCCACGTGGTCGAATAAAAAAAGACACGTGGGTAGCTCAGGGCGCGACACGTGGTCCAATAAAATACTGACACGTGGACGTACAACATCGTGTCACGTGGTTGAGTAAAAGAAAGACACGTGGGGTATTGTGGTCACGCCATGTGGACCAATAAAAATACGACACATGGTCCAATGAAGAAGTGACACCTGCTCCAACCGAAATGCGACATGTGTGCCAATAAAAACCTGACAAGTGGAACAACTAGGACCCGACACGTGGTCCAGTTAGATCTTGAAACGACAAGGACAAGGGAGGGCTACGTTGTGCAATAAGAAGGTGACACATGACTCAAACCATCTCCAATGCAACCGACTATAGCATGTACACGTGGAAAACATCTTCGACGGAAACACCCGTCAGCGTGGCTGTCCCCTACCACGCATACCAAAACAGTTCTATGACGGTCAATTTTTCGTCACAGATCAAGCCACTTCTATGACGAATTTCTAGATTCATCACGGAAGTTTAAGTATGACTTGATTTCTATGACGAGCCATTTTTTGTCATAAATTCGTCATAAAACTAAAATTATGACAAATTTGGTTTTTTCAGTGATGAAAGCTATTCGTCATGAAACTGCAGATTCCTAGTAGTGAAACCAAGTTCTAGAAAGATACATGGCTTTATGATATGCCTCTATGTATGAATTTTTTCTTGTTGTTTGAACTCTCTGATCAGCAAAACATCACTGATGCTCAAGATAAAGTGGGGGGCATTTGGGAACATGCATTTAGAAGATGGATTATTGAGGAAATTAAAGTTCAATGGGTTGAGTTGTGGAAAGATTTAATGAAATTTCAACAAATTGAAGAGAAAGATGTGATTTCATGGAATTTGGAGAAGAACAAAAAGTTTTCAGTCAAATCACTTTGGAATGCCATGTCTACTAATGATTCTAGTTCTGCATATAAATTTATTTGAAAAAGCAAAATTCATGCCAAGATTAAGATCTTTCTCTGGACTATGGAGAAGAATGCAATTTTAATAAAAGACAATTTGTTGAGTAGAATATGGATAGGGAACCCCAATTACTTCTTTTATTATGATAAAAAATATACCAACACTTGCATTTCAAGTGCCCTGTTGCAAAAGTTATTTGGTTTTTCTAAACAAAAACCTTTTTTTTACAAAAACCACAAAAGTTATTTGGTCAATAGTGGCTCAAAGTATTGGAGCCAATGACATACCCAGAAATTCAGTTCAGTGTTGGGAATGGGCCAAAACCTTGCTACCTAATGCACCGAGTTGCACACTTTTGGTATTGTGGCTATCTGTTGGGCAATTTGGAAAGCCCAGAATAAGGCATGTTTTCAACTCAATTTAATCAAAAACACTTTGGAAATAACATCTAATGCATGTTCTCTCATGTGATATTAGGTACTTTTAATTTATACTCAGAGGAGGATCAAGACATGCTGATCGAGGGAATCAACATTATGCTTTATATCGTCACCAGACTTCTGGCAAGATCTCAAATCCCAAATCACTTGCTGTTGCAGAACAACAAGGAGCAAGATGATGCCAAGAGGGAGATTGATTCAAGTCACGAGACATCTAGGAGCTCCAGGGGGTTGTGGAGGCGTTGTTGTGTATGCTTTTTTAATGTCTTTGGGATGATGTCGATAAATGTTAAATGTAATGGCATAGAGGTTTTAGTAAATTGTTGCTTTATTCTCTCATGATTAGTCTAGAGGTCTAAAACAGACCTTTGGATAATACCAACAACTTCGGAAAGAGGCACATCAGATGTTAAAGTTGTACTACTTGATGAGATATAAAACTTTGTAGTTTAAACTATTAATTTTTCATTTGAGATCGTTTATGAATTGAAATATTTCATACAAGATTACCAAAACTTACTATGTAGTGTGGTGATAAGGAAGGCTTTAGTGAACAAAGGTCACGAGTTAAAATCTTAGGAAACACAAGCACATGTATTTCACTCTCTAGACTTGTGACTTGGCTTTTCCAGAGATTTTTTTTAAAAAAAATCTATCTTTTGTTTCCTTTCTGAAATGTCTCAAAATTGATTTTTAGGGACGAGCCATGTTATGGACCGCACCTAGAGTTGTTTGATTTTTATGGACCCTTGGCTGCATATAGTTTTTGATCATAGGAAACACAAATGCATGTATTTCACGCTCGACTTGTGATTTGGCTTCTCCCAGTATTTTTGCACATTTTATACTGGTTTTGTAATGTTTGTAAAATCAATTTTTAGGGGCAGACCATGTTATCAACTGTCCTTGGAAATGAATTTCACTAATAACCCCTAGAATTCTGGGGGCCTTACATATCCACCCTTAGAAATGCTTGATTTCTATAGACCCTTAGTTGAAGCGGTTGCAAAAACCGTCTCTACAAATCAAATATAACTATTTCTGAAAATTATCTATGTGGTAGTGATAAAACCATATCTCTTTTACTGGAGCATGTAATTAGGGTATAGATTGAAAATATTGCAATAAATACACCCTTGATATTTTCATGGACAAGTGTCGTGGAAGGTTTTTCTCCCCATGGACAAGTACTGTAGAACGGCTAGAAAGAGTTGGGGAAATTCAAGTTTGTAGTGTTTTATTTTGAGAACTATATCTAAAAAGTTATTATTTGCTCTAGCATAGTCTAATATATAGAAAGTTCGTTTAAGAACACATGAAGATATGGATTTCACCGTAGCGCAATCTATGATTCCTCCACCTCGATATATATACATCATATATATCCTCACAAGGCCGACTTGTGGGGGAGCTTTGGGATATATGACCTTGTTCTTGTAGGCATATCACAGTCTTGTGTAAACTTTCTTTCAGAGGAGCGAACTTCATGCCTAGAGCCTGCAGCCTTTTGTAGAGAACTTGTACGGTTTGATCTTTGGTGCATTTTCATCCTTACACCTAAATGGTGGACAAAAATAGGAGTAAGTAAAATATCACACACAGTTTTTTTTACAGAACAAAGTTTAAATTAAGTTGCTTTAATTTGGTGATTTTTAACACTCTATTTTAGTTTGTTTTCATTTTTTATAGGTCAAGAATGAATAGTAAATAATCAAAGAAGCCATTTTAATTTTGTCTAGGAGTACTATACTTGCTGCGTATGGATGACGGTTTCAAATATTCCTAAATTGTACATTGTTTTAACTTCTGAAACAGGCCTTGAAGCATCATTATTTGTCTTACAAGATGATTCCAGCAAAATTTTATCCACACGATTTATATTGCAACTACTTTAATTTGGTACAAACCTCTTATATCATTTCTTATAACTAACGTGAAGTACTAGGCTGATGTTGTGGATCGGGAGAGATTTACTTGGTGGTAATTGGATACTGTGGGAAGAGCTCTCTCATCATGTGAACAAACTCCGACCGGTGCACCACTTGGCCAATGCAGAGGTAGCGCCCATGCGCAGCCGCGTAGCTGGGCTTTCGTAAACCCGAGACAGTGTTCGGGTAGGCCTTCTTGGTGCCCTTCGTGTAGGAGACAATGAGCATGCACATCGCCAGGTGCAGCGCCGGCTGCAGCGTTTCACCTAGCGTGAACGCCGGCACGACCACCACCAGGTGTATCCCTCTCTTGGATGCCTCCTCCATGGCTGTTCTCTCAGCAACCGTCTTCACGAAGCAGTAATAGTTCTGTAATAATTCAACATGGATGTTCTGATCTGTTAGCAGGATATATACACACTTAGTTTGTGAATTAGTACTAACTAGCAAAGATGCCCATGCGTTGCAACAGGAGAAAAAACAATATCTCTAGCTAGGTCAATGGACTTGATTCAACTCAAATGATCACCTCACCTTCCACCGTTGATTACTATAGCTCAAATCAAAAGTACATGTTTCTCTCCCATCCAGAACTATGTGGCACAATAATGTTAATTTGTTGTCATAATATTTATACTATTTTCTATAAGGATGGTCAAATCTAAAATAGTTTGATTTAATGTAATTCTAAATGTTTAGGGTTGCAACAAGAGAACAAACTTAATTTTTAAAATCCATTATTATATAAACCACTTTAATCAAAATACAATCATAAATTATTAAATTGATTTTAATATAAAAGGGGTTATATATAGTTCCTAATTCAGATTCATTGTGGCTAATGTAAAAAGGGCTATACATAAAATTTTATAGGCTAATGTTAACTAAAATTGAAGCATTATTATAATTTCATTATTCAGTTAATGCATTATTATGCAACGACCACGGAAAGGAATTATGCACCTCGATATTATTTTGTTCGGTTTTTTTGTGAAACGGTATTATTTTGTTCGTTTGCCTTCATCTCTCTAGTCAGCCTGGGCATTCGGTATTACCGAACCGATCGGTTCGGTACTTCGGTTCCTAGAGAAATTCGGTTCCTCAGAAAATAGGTATTGATCGGTTCCTTCCAAAATTCGGTACCGAGGAAATTCGGTTTCGGTATTTTCAGTTCGGTTTCGGTATTTACCAAAAAATACCGAACTGACCGCATGGACATGTAATAGTAAGTTCAAAAACTAATTTTGACATAATTTGGACATGATTTCATAGAGAATAATAATGCCAAATACATACATATAAAAGTCCACAAGATTATAAGAGTAGAGTACTACAAATACATAATATAATAGACTAAAATAGTGCTATCAATAATATAACAATACTCAAACTCAGCACAGTTCGGTAAATTCGGTTCCCCGAGGTAAAGAACCGAATTTACCGTAAATTCGGTTTCTGGGAATTATGAACTGAACAGGGTACCGAAAAATTCGGTTTCGACGGTATTTTCGAATCGGTTCTTAGTATTTTGTGCCCAGGGTGACTCTCTAGGTCCCACACCTCAGTTAGGAGCAGACTCCATCTCACGCATCCTTCTATTACACACGTCTAGCCCAAGTTTTTCCCTCCATGAGCTCATATAGGTTTTAGATAATGGATAAACATCCGGCCTCTACATCCGTAGATGTACACAGCCCATGAGCTCATATAGGTATAGATATAGATGTATAAGACTAATTTTTTTGGGGAGGTTTATTACAGGGATCCATGTGGTATTAATTGTAGATTTCGCCGGTAGCAGATGAGTTCTTTGTGATTCAGTCAACAGTGGTTTTATTATACGGTAGAAGTGTAGGTGCTAGATTGCAAAGTACGCGTGCACAGTTGCGGGCTCGGTCCATGGGCCATGGACCTGCGGTGTGCAGTCCACCGGACCAAATCCATGATGAAGGTGTATTGGGATGATTAAATCTCGACCTCAGATCTGGCGATGAGTATTCAGATGGTATATCTGGATTTGTTTTTTAAGAGAAAAACGGCCGTATATCACGTATTGATGACAGCATGGTGACCTCATCAAGCTAACAACGAATCAAGCCGAGCACGTTCTTTGGCAGAGGCGCAGAGCAAAACAGAGCACGGCGCGACGGGCACCGTGGCTCGGTCGGCGCTCGGCACATACGGCAAGGTGTTCGCGCGTGTGCGGGAGTGGCGCAGGACGGCAGGAGCGCCTGCCTCCGTCTCAGCACTACCATAGACAGCTCGCCTGGGCATTCGACGCCGAGGCCATGTGCAGGCGTACGGAATTTTTTTGGGGAAAGATCCAAATCAAAGCGAACACCTACTTATTCGGTTGGCTTCGGTTCGCTAGTTCGTTTCGTTGCTAGTTCGTAAAAAAGTACTATTAACTAGTTTGTGTGAGAGAAAAATACTATTACGACTAAAAATTTACGATCGTTTACGACGAGCGACGGCCAGACGAATGGGCTGATACCGCCCTTCGTCTCTTTCGCCTTTGTCTCTTTCGCTATACCGCCCTTCGTCTCGCCTCCTCTCATGTGCGCTCGACGGCGCCAGCCGTGTGCGCTCCAATGCAGACAGCCTGGGGCCGCTTTCTCCACAGCTTCAGACTACCTGCGCTCCGACGCTCTGCCTTCGCGATTCGAGCTACGACGGCCTCCACGATTTGAGTGATGACGCCGGCTCTGCTCGTCGAAACCAAATCAGATTTTGATTCACTAACCGGATGATGAAGGGTCGGCGAAGCCATGAACGACGGCCACCGCGGCGGAGCCAGCTTCTCGGCCGAGGCGGCCCTGCGCGCAGGGAGGAGCCACGGAGGGCCTGCGTCTGCGACTCGACGCCGCCTCGCTGGCGCGGCCCGCGTTCGTGACTCCACGGCGCCTCACCGTCGCGGCCTGTGCTCGCGGCTCGACGCCGCCTCGCCGTCGCTGCCCCACGCCCCTGCTCGTGACTCCACAGCGCCTCGCGACTCGATGCCGCCTCGCCGTCGCTGATATAGAAAGGAAAAGGAAGGATTTTTTGGTCGAAAATTACCATGATATTTACTGATCTGAGCTGGTTTCCTTTTCGATTCCGATTTCGATTCAAACTTGCCATGGAAAACGCGGCTGTGCGGAGGGAATTTGGGCGGCGATGCGTCGGGCGCGGAGGGAGAGAAGCCCAAGCTGAACTCGAAGCGGCGCGCGGCGTGTGGGTGCGGGCGGCGCTGCGTCGGATACGGAGGGAGGGAAGGCCGAGCCGAACTCGGAGCGGCGCGACGCCGGCGTGTGCGTACGGCAGCGCAGCGTTCTTGCGGATCTGTGATGGACACGGAGGGAGGGAAGGCGAATTCGGAGCGGCGTGCGGCGTGTGCGTATGAAGGCACAGCGTGCGTGCGATTGGAATTGGAATAGGATAAGGAAAAAAAAAAGTTACGGGCTGAATTGGAATAGGCGTTCTTTAGCTCCGTCCAGTGCATGCAGATGGGCATTCTTGCGGTCCTCTAGCACGATGCACGGCACAATTACAAAAGGGCAAACAAAAAGAAAAAAAATTGAGTCATTATATCTGTGAGAGAAGCGTACAAAACCCAAGCGGTAAACTGAGTGTCAGTGGTCCTGGTGGACTACTACGTACTCACCAGGGTTCCTTGCGGTGCCTCTCACGCGGTAGCCACGCTGGAGCAGCTCTTTGACGAGCGACGACGCAATGAAGCCTCCGGCTCCGGTCACGCACACCAGCGGTTCGCCGGCCGGCATGGCCATGCTCGATCGTTGATCGGGCCTTGCCGTTGATTGCTGAGCCGTCGATCTATGTTTATTTGGCGTGCGCTAGATCCGACACCGTCGCATGTGCTAGCTGGGCAGTAGTTGCTAAGAGCATCTTCAAGAGTTCCCTAAATTTTCATCTAAAAAACTTCATATTTTCCAACTCCTAATAATGTATTAGGAGAAAAAAAAAGTCATCTCCAATAGTTTATAAAAATTAACTCCTAAAATTTCGTCTAGTGGCATTTTTGTAATTATCATCATCTTCCTCCTCAGAACAACCATGTACAGAGAAGCTTCGTGACTTCCATGGCTGGCTTCACGACACTCCTGGGGGCAGTCACCGGCGGCGAGTGGCTGCGGCGGACCACACCTAGGCCCCCTTGCGACGCCATGGGCTGCTCTCGCTCAGCCCAAGAAGGGCCAGTCGACTGGCCGCCAAGCAAGCGATGATTTGCGGCGGCAGGTGCTCCACCGGCGAGGAGCGGCGGCGGCGAGCGGCGCTTGTCGGGGAGGGCTGGTGGTGTCGGCGCGTGAGGGTGAAGGGCTCCTGGTGCTTGGTCGCGGGGAGGCACGAAGGCGAGGGGGGAAACTCAAATGGCGGCGGTGAGCTCCGTGGCCACAGCTCCGTGTAGTGGGCGCCGTACTTCTGCACGGCCACGGCGTCGTTGTACGCTTCATCGTGCTCCTCGAACGCCTCCACCTTGCAGGCCTGCTGCTTCTGCACGGCAAAATATGGCGCGGGAAGAAGAAGGCGAAAGCCTTGAGAGCAGCGTCTCTCTGGCATGGCTTCATCCAGCGTAAAGTTACTGTGAAGGGAAGGAATTTTCCAAGTCCTAAAAGATTAGAAGTAAATATTAGTAGTTGTTGAAGAGGGTTTTTTCTCCATCTTTCTAAAAACAAAGATTAGAATGATGTTTAGGAAACTCTTGAAGATGCTCTAAATACTAGTGATACATATATACATATACATATACATATACATATACATATACATATACATATACATATACATATACATATACATATACATATACATATACATATACATATACATATACATATACATATACATATACATATACATATACATATACATATACATATACACATACACATATACACATACACATACACATATACATATACATATACATATACATATACATATACATATACATATATATACATATACATATACATATACATATACATATACATATACATATACATATACATATACATATACATATACATATACATATACATATACATATACATATACATACACAGCCTCTTTATTGGCTATCGGTTCGACCACGTATGCTGTATGCCACATCTCCCAGAAGCCAGAATTGAGGTGCAGGAAAACAAGAGAAGGCGACGGCCTTTTAGGCCAGTCTTAGTGGGGATTTCATAGCCCTGTTACCAATGCATCCATATTTTCGAAATAGTGCAGAAGAGTTTCATCCCCATAAAACTCTCTCTACTCCCATGAAATTCTTATCATCTCTCTCTTCATCAATACGGTGCCACATCAGCCTATTTAATGCCCATGAAACTCCGATAAAACCCTACTGAAACTAGCCTTGGTACCAAAATGTGATCCACGACCTATCCACTACGCAGGACATATGCACCACACGAACATAAACTTTCTATCTTCAGGATTAATAACGAGCCTTCATATGTAATAATAACACATGAAAAACGTGGCTAATATCTACCACTAACAGTTATAGTGGGACTAGAAGGATCCAACGGACGATCCCATCCGACGGCTGTCCAGTGCGTGTCGAAGCACCTGCAAGCTGCAAGACGAAATAATTTGCCTCATCTCACTCCCATGTTGTTTCCCTTTTCGGAAATGCTTCCTGGGCGTCCATTCGTCCGGATGCCGGCTTTCCAGGCCTGCGGACGCTCTTGTTGGTGAGTCGAAACGCCCAACAGTCCAACACTCATATTCGCTCGTCCACACGCCCCCAATCAAATCAGCTCGTCCAGCCCGCCACGTTTGCAGCGCTGCGACCGCGCTCCACCACTACCGCGCCGCGACGGCCCTCCACAGCTCCACCGTGACCGTGTCACTTCGGCATTCTCCACGGCGTCTGGGTGTGTAGCCCCCACCTTTCCCTCTGTGCGCCGCCACCCAGCTCCACGCCCACGCCGCGACTGTGCTCCATCGCGACCAAGCCACCTCAGCGTTCTCCACGGCGTCCGGGCACCTATTGGTCATCCCACACGTCCACTGTGCCGTCATCCGTCGCGCCACCCCCACCTTGCCCTCTTGAAATGTTCTAATGGCTAGAGGGGGTGAATAGCCTATAAAAAATTTCTACAACAACACTAAGCAAAGCGGTTAGACAATTATGAGGCGAAGCGAATACTGCACTAGCCTACTAAAAATGTAAGCCACCTACCATAATTCTAGTTTCTATAGTCTCTAAGCACACAAAGGATATATCACTACACTAAGTTAATGAGCTCTCAAAGACTAACTAAAGAGCCTCACTAACCACTAGACAAGACATAAGCTAACTCTCAAAACTAATTACACTAAATAGCTTAGCTACACTAAGAAAAGTAAATGCACAAGAGTGTTATACCACAGTGGCAAGAGATGATCAATCAACCAATCACAATGAATACCAAGAAATCCTCGGGACAAGATGACATAATGATTATCCATCGAGGTTTACTTGCTTGCCGATAAGCTAATCCCCACTATGGCGATTCACTCACTTGATGGTTCACGCGCTTATAGACATCACACGCCTAACCCCTAATCTGGTGCCACATAACCAACACAAGATGAGGATCACATAAGCCACGAGCAATCCACTAGAGTACCTTTTGGCTCTCCACCGGGGAAAGGTCAAGAACCCCTCACAATCACCATGATCGGAGCTGGAGACAATCACCTTCCTCTGCTCGACGATCCTTGCTGCACCAAACCGTCTAGGTGGCGGCAACCACCAAGAGAAACAAGCGAATCCCGCAGCGAAATACAATCACCAAGTGTCTCTAGATGCAATCACTCAAGCAATGCACTTGGATTCACTCCCAATCTCACAAAGATGATGAATCTATGATGGAGATGGGTGGGAGGGCTTTGGCTAAGCTCACAAGGTTGCTATGTCAATAAAAATGGCCAAGAGAATGAGCTAGACCCGGCCACACAACTTAAATAGGCGTCCACTCGAAATAGAGCCGTTGGCCCTTTGCTGCCTACTTCCACGATACGACCGGATGCGCCGGTCGGTTTGACCCGACGTATGCCACCTTGCGTCCGGTCGCTGGATGGAGGCCACATGTCCTCCGCGTTCAACCGTAGCTGAGCGATCTCAACAGCTAGCTGCGCCCACGCCACGCGTCAAGTGACGACCGGATGCGCCAAAACACAGGATCGGACGCGCCGGTGCTAGCCTTGCCCCCACGCGCACCTGCTCCACCGAGCTCTGACCGAACACGCCGCTCCCTGTGGCTTCCCGCGTCAGGTCACTTCCAAAAACTATGCAGAGACGATTTTTCACGACCTGTCACGTCCGATCGCGCATGACCGGACGCACGACCGAGTCAGGTCCTCTCTGGCTTGAGTGAATGCTCACGTCAGCGTACATCACCTATGACCGAACGCAGGCCCTACACGTCTGGTCACAAACACTATGCTGCGTTCGGTCACAAACACTGTGCTGCGTCCGGTCGAATTCCAGACATAGCCTGAGCTCGCCAACTCCTTTAAAATTGACCGGACGCACACCAGCCGAGTCCGGTCACTTCGAGTTCAACGTTCGGTCGATCAAAAACACCTCCTTATGATCTCCAACTTCACCACCCTTACCCTTACTCAAATGTGCCAAACACCAATTTATAAGAGTGCAAGTCCAGAAACAATCCATTCTGACCAATTTATAAGGCGCAAGTACAAACTTACATACAAATTATGAATTCAAAATCAATTTCAAATTCTCGAACTTGATTACATCCATCGGAAATCTCGAAGGATTTCAAACCAACTTACATACAACCATTCATCAGGGGTAATTCTCTTAAACACAAACCCCGCTTCTCCTGGACATTTTCTTGACTGAAGCAAATAGAACGTAGATTCAATTAATTTTACATATGGTTAAATGGATGATGATGATAAGGTTGCAAACAATGAATACCGATATGGTTATTAATGTTTGCACCCTAATAAAATGATTGCTTAGTATAAGTGATAATATAGTTGATAAATGTTAATGATAAAAAAGTCAAGTCAATGGTTCAGTAATAATAGAGTTGATCATTATTACTTATGCTTTTCGCAAAAAGAAAGTGTCACCAGATCCACTACATTATTATATGCATAATCCTTGGTGTCATTTATTTTGTTTTCGCCAGTAAGTCTAATGAGTACATTCCCGACTCAAGGTTTATTCCTCTTGTTGCGGATGATGACCTTCTATATCGTGGACACGTAAGTATTGTCTCCACCCGGCGGTGATGAAGATTAGATCATGGGCATGATCTAGCGGTGACTTTTTATTAATGCTTTTAACTATCGTGATTTGTTGAACCAAGATGTATTTGAACTTAGTGTGTGAGTTGAACTATTTGCTTCCACATGTTTTACAAAACTTGTTTTGTAATAACGATGACTCTGTGTTGATGTAATCTATTTGTGAACGTCTATGAATGTTGTAACGTACGATATGTTATGTTGAATTACTGTGATCTTGGTTGTATGCAAGTTGGTTTGAAATCCTTCGAGATTTCAGTTGACTACCGGGTTTATATGGGCTCAAGCTCGAGAATTTGATCGTTTCGGCGATTGTTTTTGTACTTGTGCTCTTATAAATTGGTCAGTTCTGTGACAGCTGGCATCAGAGCTAGATTCAACATTAAACATGTCTTACGGTCGGTCATATATCCATGCGGCGTGATATTGCATGGGTGTCATTTGTTTGAATGGTAATGTATGGATCAATTGCCTCTACGCTAAGGTAAGTGTG